ACACTCATACACACACACACACACACACTGATGGCTCTCAGCTTCAGATCTGACTCTGTCCTGGTGTCCTCAATCAATAGCTGTGTGTGTGTGTGTGTGGGTGTGTGTGTGTGTGTGTGTGATTGTGTGTGTGTGTGTGTGTGTGTGTGTGTGTGTGTGTGTGTGTGTGTGTGATGATGTGCTGGTGTGGACGAATGAGCGTGTGGTGAGCTGGGTCCAGGCGATCGGGCTGAAGGATTACGCTGCCAATCTGCTGGAGAGCGGCGTTCACTGAGCGCTCATCGCCCTCGACGAAACCTTCGACCACAACGCCCTCGCCCTCCTGCTGCAGATCCCTACACAGTGCACTCAGGTGAGCCCTAGGCAGTGCACTCGGCTGAGCTCAGAGCCGTCGGGGGTGTTTCCTTCAGTCTGTGCTGTGGAGGAGACCATGACTGACCACACGCTGTGTGTTGTGTTATTCTGTGCGTTTTCTTGAGGAGTAAGACGTGTGTGTGTGTGTGCAGGCGCGGGCACTGCTGGAGCAGGAGTACAGGCAGCTGCTGAGCGGTGGGACGGAAAGACGGCAGGAGGAGGTGTGTGTGTGTGTGTGTGTGTTTCTGCTTCTGTGTGTGTGTGTTTGATCAGTGTGTCCCGCTTCATTGCACTTCTGTATGTGTGTGTGTGTGTGTGTGTGTGTGTGTGTGTGTGTTCAGGATGATGATAAGAGTTTCCGGCGTGCTCCATCTTGGAGGAAGAAGTTCAGGCCTAAAGACGTGCGCGGTATGAGTGTGAGCGCGGCGGACACACTGCCGGCCAGCTTCAGGGTGAGCGCAGGAGACGCCAACACTGCTGCCCTCATCAACAGGAAAACACAGCTGGACGGTACGTGTGTACGTGTACGTGTGTGTGTGTGTTTGTCACTGTTTGTGTATGTCTGTGCTTGCATGATACTGTGTGTGTGTGTGTGTGTGTGTGTGTGTGTCTGTCTAACTCGTGTGCTGTGTGTGGCTGCAGGTGGTGTGAGTGGAGTTCAGCGTCTGGATGCGGCTGCCGTCAGGACCTACTCCTGCTGATCAGACCAGGTGAGCCGTCAGTGATACACACACACACACACACACACACACACACACACACACACACACACACACACACACACACACCGACCGCAGAAACATGTTTAAACAAGAGCCGACGGCCAGAAAACACACACTACTGTTCCTCAGCAGAGCAGGGTGTCGGAGTTCAGCAACAGCTGGACAACAGGATTATATTAAAACCACAGACACACACACACACACACACACACACACACACACACACACACACACCTTATTAAAGGTCCTGATCTACAGCGATTGATCATCTGCTACAGAGCCAGTGTGGACATGAAGAGCAGCAGCAGCAGACTGCATTCATTAGCATTGGGTGTGAGCTGGTGATGGGATTAAAATATGATGTTATCAGTATTATACTCACTGCTCTAAAAGAAAATCATCACTGCTCTTTTTAAATGTCCTGGTGAAAACTATAATTTACTCCACACTGAGCACAGTATCCTTCAGTAGACATGTGCGGCTGAATAATGAAGGTCTTCATTAGGCTCACACTGACCTCTCTACAGCATGAGAAGGCTCTGGAGATCTCTGCTCTGTTGATCTGCAGTAAAGCCTCTGCTCAGCTCAGCTGGCTGATGCTGGTGTGTGTGGAGAGGAGACTGGTTTAAGAATCTGGAGATGTCTGGATTACAAACAAGACCAAAGCTCATACAAGAGCAGCCGCAGCACTGTAGAGTTCCTGTCCAACACACACACGTGCACGCGCACATGCACACGCACACACACACGCACACACACACGCACACTTTGATCAGGTGTGTTGTAATTAGGGTTCAGGGTGTGTGTGCAGAGCTCAGCTTCATGCCACTTGC